TCTCAAAATCATATAAAGCCATATTATAACATCGACTGAGATAAAGAATAAAATGAAATATTAAAATCACGATGTATCTCGCTGCATTGCGCGAGTACGCTTCTAGTATATATATATAAGTAATAAAGATAAGTAGAAATTAATAGAAGTTGTAGGCATAAAACAATAGTATTATTTCCACTACTCCTAACATATATCACCTAAATACTTAGAAATAAATATATCCAAACTTCAAAACCTAAATCACACAAAAAGCATCATAAATAACGACACACTTCCCATGATCACAACACTTATTTGAGAATACATATCTCCACTCATTTTAACCAATCCCATCCCTCCGTTTTTCATACTCGCGGTCTGGTTTGCAGATTGAGCAGCAACGTTTTCAGGCTCCAAAACCTTCACGATCATCTTAAGCCCACGTTCACAATGGCCCGAAACCCCACTAATGAAATAAAAGAATCCCGATCGGTCTAGCTCGAAACTCGTGTCACCGTTGTTGGAAAAAAAGACCGGGTGCACTGATTTGCACTTCTCGTGCTCCTCTTTGCTCACAACCAACACCGAATCCTTCTTGTACTCAAAACCTACACATAATCATAACATGCAATCATCAATTGTCATCGGTTTAAGACGATGATTAATTAAACATGACGGGGTACTTACGAAGGGTGTCGTTGATATTAAAGCGATTCTTGGAAGCCCATTGGTCGAAGAGACGGGTATCGTTGGAAGGAGGGATTGACCACCCTTTGTCACCACCAACTTGGAAGTCGATGGGTTGGACTTTGAGGATGGAGAAGAGGGCAAATGAGATGAAAAGGATGGTGATTTGGGTCATGATTAAGACGTAATTAGGGAGTGATTAAGGTGAAGGGTAATTGGGATTAAAAGAGGGGTTAAAGGAAAGGAGTTAGTTATTGAGGGGAGAGTGGGGAGAGAGAGTTGAGGAGAAGTCGTGGGGATGTGAGATTTGACTTGGTAAATTCTGTAATTTTTTTTTTTTTAAATATTGTTTAATTTAATGTGTATACTTATGGGCGTAATATATTTATTTCATTATGAAATATATATATATATATATAATTTCGTGTGCGATAAGGTTGTTTTTGTGAGACACGATTTTTATATTTGAAATTTTACAGCTAAAACACTGTGAAAGTAACTTTCACAGTGTTTTTGCTATGAAGGTTCGACTTTTTTTTACATTCACAACATTCTTTCAAGTGCAAAAATCGTGTCTCAAGAAAAAAGTCTAATCTCATGTAAACCCAACCCTCTATATATTCAACAACAAATGCCTTATGAAGTATGAAGTAATGAAAAGGAAGAGCAGGTTTTGGGCTTATTGAGTCTATAAAGTAAAACTAATTCGGGCTTAAGCCCACGTATAAATATTTGACCTAAATTTCGCTATTTTTTAAGTAAATTTCATACTTATCTATTTCCGATATCTCATCTTCTCTATCATATCTCCGTATTAACATACCACATTGTGCACATAAGAGTGAACAAAATGTAAATGATCATAATAACTTTTTACTAGGATACTCACAAGGTTCATATTGTGTTCACACATGGCATGTTTAGTTTAGTTTGTGTTGAAAATACGTTCACAACTTATACCAGATATCCAAGATTTAGGAAATGTTCACAATGTGCTTACATAATATTTCTAAGAAAGCGTTTATAATGTGTTCATGTTCACTTCATATACAATTATGTGTGTGCACATGTATGTTATGGAACGATGAGAGTGAAGAGAGAATAGATAAGAGATGGGTGAAAAAAATAGGAGAAGTATTTATTTAATATTAGATTTTTTTTTTCAATTTATATTACTAGTTGTGTACCTGCGCAATGCGGTGGGAGTCACAAATGTAAATGGTTTGAATATATAAAAGTTATGGTTCCAATTGGATTTGATCGCCGAAAAATTGTATGACAGTTAAAAATCCAATATATTTAAACCGAGCTAATCTAATCTAATTAATACTGAAGCATTAAAAAAAAGAAATTATTTTACATAATATTTGTATTTGCATCTTGATGTACGAATATGGTAAAAATGATTAAATAATTGACCAAAATATTAGATAAAACCAAACAAATTTAATCATCTACCAGTATTAATAGAATGTGCAAACTTAGTTTAATTAAATTGATTATCAAAATTAATATACAATAAACAAATGAATTAGATTAGCTCCATCTAAGATGATATCCTTCTCAAAAGAGGTTTCCTTGACTCCATAAAAGTGTTCTTAATCTATTAAAAGTAAAACAAAAACACCCTAAAATTTTATATAGGGATGATTCAACGTCAGCAGACACCCAACGAATCACACCTCTCTTTGAAGAAAGCCGATTGACTAAAAAGATGCCACCTATAAAAGAAAAAAGTTGATTGTGAGAAATAGAACAATACAGGGAGGTTCAAGTGAAACCAGCAAAAACGTTGGAAACCTGAAAACAAATTTCAACCTTTAGATAGATTTAATCCAAGGAATGTGATAGAAAAGGTGGTTACAACACTAGAAGGCTCCAATTCTTGGGAATTTCCATATTCCATCTTTATCTGGGTAAGATGGGTATCGAAACTCTCCAGCTGGATCCATTCAAACTTGAATTTTCTATATAAACATAGAATCCCCACATGCCAAATTAACATGTATAATAGCCAAAAACCAATCATCATGAACCCTATATATGCCAGTATCCAACATACAGCTTAAATGTAGAATATTTGGGTAGTTGAAATCTGTACAAGAATAAGATTCAATAAAAAATTATCGCGTATAGCTCTTTCAAGTTTGAACCTTTAAACTGTTAGCAATGTAAGTGTTAAAGACCACAAAAATACCTTACTCATTGTCAATTGATTTGATATCAAGACTCCCCATTTGTAATATAAATCAAATGTTGCAAGTAAACATAATAGGTAAGAGTGATGACCACAATGGTGTCACCAAGAAGATGGCTGAATTTGTCTCTGAAATAACACATATAGTCAGAGTAGCACTAAATGGCGTCCTGCTCTTAAGGCATGGGATGACGTCACAACCAAAGGAAAGATATTCATTATTCCTCCTTCCCCGTTGATCTATGTATGCCAGGTCAGGGTCATCATTGATTTCTTCTAATACCACTTTGGAAGGGGTATACTGCAAAAGTTTGATCAGAATGTTAAACGTTTCTAAATGTTAAGAAAAGGGTATGAAGGGCTGTAAACGAACCGAACGAACACGAACGGAGGCTTGTTCGTGTTCGTTCGTTTAACTTAACCGAACAAACGAACTAACACGAACGGTAAACGAACGAAAATAATTGTGTTCGTGTTCGTTCGTTTAGAAATCCGATGTGTTCGTGTTCGTTCATGTTCGTTCGTTAACAAGTTAAACGAACNGAACATGCCTAAATGAACATAAACGAACATAAACGAACAGTCTTAACGAACATAAACGAACATAAACGAACATGCCTAAACGAACATAAACGAACATAAACGAACACCACTATTTGTCATTCAGTTAACTATTACACACCAATTGTCCATAGTTTAAAAAAAAACAAATATTAAAAAAGGCCTAAACCCTTTAAAAGCTCAATAATTAAAAAAGTTTTAAAATTAAAATTCAAATTAAATAAATAAAAATTATATATTAAAATTAATACATAAACGAACGTAAACGAACATAAATGAACGTAAACGAACGAACATAAACGAACGTAAACGAACGAACGTTCACGAACATAAATGAACGCACGTTCACGAACATAAATGAACGAACGAGACTCTTGTTCATGTTCGTTCGTTTAACTAAACGAACAAAATTTTTTGTTCATGTTCGTTCATTTATTAAATAAACGAACATAAACGAACTTCCCGCCGAACGGTTCACGAACGGTTCGCTGAACGTTCGGTTCGTTTACAGCCCTAAGGGTATCCATATATTGTGTAAATATTGATTAGTTTAAGGTTGGAATTCAAAGCAAACTTGTAAAGCTTTTTGGTTAGTTTAATTAAATAATAAAGCATAGGAAAGAAAGAAAAAATGACTGACGTGCAAGAGTAACCAACGTTTCCGCCACATTGATGGAAGGACATCACTGCCTGTACCTTTACCCATGCTTCTTGGCCATCTCCAACAGCTTCAGTATCCAAGAATCAGAGGAAGGGGATATGTATCTTACATTCGAGTTCGTTTGAGGGAAAAGAGGTGGTTACCGGTGTAATCGTCTTAAAAAAAGAAAAGAAGATCAATTTAGTGATTCCTGTCGGAGCTTTATCTAGAGAACATAAGAAAAAAGCGAGGGTTTTGATAGGGACTTGACTCGTGGAGAATAGATCGCCAACAAGAAAGCATGTTTATCATTTGAAGTAAATGTTGGAGGTGGAATAGTCATCTCGAGAAGATAAAAGGTTAAGGCAGAAAATCAAGTCAAGTTGTACGTTATGTATTTTAGGTTGTTTTTAAGACTTTAAGACTTTATGTATTAAAGAATAGTATCTTATGCATTTAAGGTTGTTTTTAAGACCTTTTCTCACATATGCTTTATAAGGTAGTATAGACTCGATAATATAAACGGTTGAGGCAAAAAATCAAGTCAAGTTGTACATTATGTATTTTAGGTTGTTTTTAAGACTTTATGCATTAAAGGATAGTACCTTATGCATTTAAGATAGTTTTTAAGACTTTTCTCACATCTGTTTTATAAGGTAGTATAGATATATAATATGGCAAATGATAGTGTGAGAAGAAAAGTTATATTGGTTATCTACATCATTTTAACCAAAAAATGTTACATTAACCAATTAGTAAAAGTTCGATAGTTTACTTATTTGTTTAAAGAAATTCAGGGTCTTAATCATTCAAAATGTGAAAGTTTAATGGTTTTTTCATTCAAAAAAAAAAAAATTACTTCAACGACATAATCATTTAAAATAAGAAAGTTTAATGGTTTTTTCAATCAAAAAAAATAGTTTAGGGACTAAACCATTCAAAGTGAGAAAGTTTGTTGGATTTTGGGGCGTTTCCCCTTATTATAACACACATACAACTTAATATGTTTGAACTTCATAAAAACCAACTCATTAACAATTGAAAAATACGTTTAGATGCTAAATAAGAGTTGAACCATACTAATACAATAAAATACTCCATAAAACTAATCACTAACAAAAGTCACTCTCACTCTCTCAAAACCAAATAAATCAATAAAATAAAGTCGAGAGTGACAGAATAAAAATACATTGTGTCCCTCTCGACTTTATTTTATTTGGATTAGCTGATAGAATAAAAATACATTGACTTGTATCAAAGACGTAAGTAAGTTCTCTTAATTGCATAAAAAGCATAATACGATCTTCAAAATTAGGATTAGGGGCCGTTTATCAAACACTTACCCGGTAAGTGCTTACCTGTAAATTTTAACATTATCATTTATTTAGCGGGTAAGATTTTAGTCCACAAAAACGACATCGTATGCAATAATTTACCCGGTAAGCGCTTACTGTGGTTAGAGTCGTCGCCCTCACTTACCGGGTAAGACTCTTGGTTCTTATCTCGCTCTTACCGGATAAGACTCTTGGTTCTTATCTCGCTCTTACCGGATAAGTTATTGGTCCTTACCATATTCATCAGGTAAGGTAATGTGACTTGGTAAGTGCTTACCTGGACAAATGTTTGGTAAACGTCCCCTTAGCCTGACAAAAAAACCTTGGATTTCTTCATCATGGCATGGGACACAATAAGGAATATAGACGAATTCTCATCTTTCTGTATTACATAACCTAGCCTTTTATATTTCCATCCTCTCTACCTCTAAAGTTCTATGTTGTAGACGACGCACTCGAAAAGGTTCCCTAACCATAGAGAACAAAGGTCTTCGAGTTGCTTTCTGTATGACTTCGGCAACAGGAAACCCTTGCTTTCACTACTTCACCGAAGAAAACAAACCTTGCGAAATTTCTCATGATGTTGATCAATCAATCTGAAAGAAAAGTTCACAGCCCACTAGGAAAAGTTCGCTTGGAGACATGTAAACTTAGCACAACGCTTACGTTAAGAAAATTTTGGATTAGATCGTGCTACTTTAAATCCGATGGTGTTTCTAATAGTAGTCCGAGGGGTTGGTTTACTTTTGGACATGCTTCAATTGTTCTGCTCTTCTTCTTTAGACGCATTTGGCATGCTTCACTTGCATGGTGCTCGAATATTGTTTAGAAATGTTTTTACTTTCAGAAGATGTGTTTCCCAAAAATAAAATTCAGAATAAGCTCAATAAAATACATCTGATTTTAATGTAATTTGCCAGTGCTTGAATCGAAGTTAATAACATCACATGAAGATACTGAATTGAGTTCCGAAATTTAGTTTCAATCTTATCTGCAAACAAATACCAACAAAAATCAAACAACGGATAAAGGCACTGCTAAGCAATGGACAAATACCAACAAAAATCAGATATACTAAGTAACAAATAAGTTTGAACCAGGTTAGGTTTAGATTCAATAGATCCCAAAGCTCGATATTTTAACAAAAAAAATACATGTATGTATATTAAGCTCGTGATCAAACTACCCCACATCTTACCCAAATCCGATAAAAAGTTATGAGTTTGTAATTTATATATAAATAATAAACTTAACAAAATTTCAACTTCCTTGTTATATGGATCAAATCTCAAACAAAATTCCACCATAAATTGGAAAACGTTTATCGGATAACAACTTACCAGCAAAAGTTATCATATTTTATTGGGTAAGATTCTCGATCTTGTTATGGTTCTTACTATAGACTAGATTCACAATTCTTGTCATGTTAATCTGATAAAGTAAGTAAGGGGGTGTTTGAAATTGTTGCTTATTTGAAACAACTTATGTTTTTCTATAAAAATACTTGTCAACTTATTATAAGTCAAGAGGTTTTAACTTCTTCAAAAATTTCTTATTACCGGTTTGACACTGATACAAGTAGTTTATCCAAACACTAAAAAATGTTTATTACCGATACTACACTGGAATAAGTTAATAAGTTATTTTTATAAGCAATCCCAAACACCCGGTAAAACTTGATAAACGTTAAGGCTAAGGATTTTGTAAACGGGCAAATACTATGGAGAAAGAAAAATACACATTTATCCAAAAATAATATATTTCAAATATTAAAATATTAAAATACAAAAATCTAAAACTATGTCATTATTAATTACAAGAGAAAATAGGAATCAAATTCATTCATGTTGCGGTTGCGGGGAGGTTTAGAGCAGCGAAGGGAAAATTTCAGGTGATATCTTAATCGCTTAGCAGCGAAGAGGGAATTTCAGTTTACAAATCATTCGATTCAATGGCTGAAGAATCAGAGAAGAGATTTCACGCAGTCATGGATAAGCTCTTTCTTGCTCCTCCTCCCAATTCCAAATCCACGACAACCACCGCTTCTACTAGGTATACGATTTCTCCTTTCTAATTTTGTTTCTTTTTAGAAATTCAACAGTTGTATTCTGCTTATAGATTCTTGTTATTTGTTGCTTTTTATCCGATTATGGTTATAAGGTCTGAATCGCGTTTTACTTGACAAATATAAGAGACTCGTAACCAAATTCAGTTCGTTACTAGGGTTTATCCATTTGAAAATCTTACATAGGTCGTTTTATTGAAAAAATAGCTGCACTTTGTTTTGGAGGTCAAATGTCTACCTTGACATTAATATTGATATGAATTCTATCAACTTTTGGAAGGAAGTCTGATGAATTCGTTGTATATTGAAGATATGGATGGTAAATTAGAAACAAGTTCATGCCAATCTTGTGTTTGAAAAGCACTAGGTTTATCAGAAAAACAAGAGAAAAATAAATAAATATATAGCCCTTCTGCTGGCAATTGAGGGAGTATCAAGTATGATGTTGAATTTGAGTAGTTTGAGTCAACATTGGAGATTTGGTAATTACTTTTTACTTTTGGTAGTGCAACTGCAGGTGGACTATCGAGAGAAAGGAAACGCCCGCATACAATGACCACAACACTAGCTGTAGTTGATTCGAAATTTAAAGGAGGTACCATTAAGGAGTTGCAAAATGCATCTGGTGGGACAGTGCAGTCACCCATGTGCAGACCTTGGGACAGAGAGGACTTGCTGAAAAGGCTTGCTACTTTTAAGTCAATGACTTGGTTTGCTAAACCTGAGGTTAGAAACAACTACTAAATATTAATGCAATGATATTTTCTTGTGCTATTCCCTTGAGAGAGAGAGAGAGGAGCTAAAGATTGTCTCAAACAAGCAATCATATTAATTCCTGTTGGCAGTTGTTGAAACATTTTGATTCAGTAGTAGTGGAATTACGCTTGTAGGCACTTGAAAAAACATTTTTATGTTCTCAATTGGCAAACTTGCTTACAGAATATTAGTGACATTACATCCTAACAAGCTTCTTTCTTTTCATAGAGAGAGAGAAAGAGCATCCACTCCATTTTTTACGCCTGGAAGTTAGTCAATTTTCTAATTAGATATTTCTGAAATATGTTCTCATGAGCTTCTTACATTTTTGTATGAGAGTGTAGTTGAATAGCTGATCTCCGGCTGCATTTAATGTGCAGGGGTCTGCTGTGGGCCATCTTGTTATCTCTCATAGTCTCGTACTATATTTTGTTTGAGCATGATCTAGTACTATATTTTTTATAAGCTGGGCAATACCGTACTAATGATTAGTCACACCTCAGTGGAGGTTTCTTTTAACAATATCCTGCAACTCTCATTGCAGTTTATCCATATTGGCTAACAGAATAGGGCCTTAACTACATTAAATAATCCCTCAATAGGTAAAGTAATACCAATGATACTTTTTTAGGACAGTGAAACAATCATATCATAAAAAACTGAAATACATTTAAGTTAGCATTGATAATAGGAATAATAGACATGTTGCAGTTTCTATTTAATTTAGACTAGATGTTCACCTAAACAAGCAGAACTGGCCTTCTTCATATAGTTGAGATAATGCCTTGTAGAGTGAAAGTGGATACCGATCACTCTGCATTTAGGCTTTTTGCTGATTTTAGTTGAGTAATTGTCGAGCATAGGTTGTGGTTGTAGGAATATGGTGCAAGTTAGAGATGGAAGGTCTTTGACTCCTTGTGACTGTGAATGTATGGAAGAAATGTTCATAGCTTGAAATACCAGCAGTTAGCTAGAAAAGCTAAAGGGAATTAATGTAAACTTATTGACCTCCACTTGTAGTTGTTGCTATCCATGTATTAATTATGTACATTGAGATTGTTTTGAGAGAAGCAATGTAGCATTGCCTGGTCGAGCTCTTTGCTGCAGATAGCTTTTTCCACCACAAAGTTCTTGCTTAGCTAATCTTTTGTAACCGATCACATAACCTAATTTCTTACTCTTCATGATTTGGTTATATGCAAATGCATGGTACACAGATTTGTGCTTTTCAAGCTTTAAACAGCATAGAAATATATTTTACCTTTTTGGGGTTATGTTCCAAAAAATATACAGTAGTTACCATGGTATGTTACGAAACTTCTTTGAAGTGTACATCCAAGGTCAGGACATGTGTGTATTAAGTACTGATGATACATCAGTGAAATTATTTTCCTGTATTATGCATTTAAGGTCAGAACAGGAAAGGAGGCTTATTGAGCTTTATTTTGTGGTTTGTTTCTGGAATCCTGGGTTTCAGATTTGTTTGAGTTCCATAGTTTTTCACTCAGTATGTTACTCATAAGTGTTTACAGGATCAGATGCACCTTGGAAGTTAATTTGTTATTGGAAAAAAGATGCTCATCAACTCTACGTTGGAAGATTCAGTAATTGGTTACTAGATTTTAATCCAGCAATGAATATTCCATTTCAGACTTGATTACCAGGAAAGGATAAACTGAACTTAGACTGATCGGGGTCAATCTGGCATTTTGTTCATTAGTCTCTCTGTAGGCTCATTCAGTCAGTTACGGTCTATAATCGGCTCTGTTGAATATGGTATAGAGAGATGTCGGTAAGAAAAGAAAGATCTTTTTGTATGATAAAAGTTTCCCACATCTCTCCTGTCAATTATGGTCCTTAACTAAGTGGCATATGCCTTTTTCCATTGTGTGCTTGACTTCAGTAATTCTTTTTCATGGTTGGGCGTTTAGTGTTACTGTGAGGTTGATCCCTTGTTGATAGCCTAGAAGCTGCATTTTTGAACTACAGAATCTGCAGCTTGTAGCAAATGATTACTGGTCCATATGCATAGGAACATAGAATGAGCAATGATTACTGGTCCATATGCTTACTGGTGTGAATAAGAGGGAAGCCAGATTCTCACACCGTGCAGAACTCTTGGTAACGGGAGTTATAGGTGTAGTTCTTAGGAGGGTTATGGTTGGAAAAGGAAACACCATATCACTTTTTGTTTTTCTTACCATTTCATTGTGAAATTTAGGTGCAAGAGGGTAACATTATCTTTTTTTATCAGGTAGTCAGTGCAATAAATTGCGCCAGGAGAGGTTGGGTCAATGTAGATATGGACATCATTGCCTGTGAATCCTGCAGGGCCCGTCTCTTCTTTTCTACTCCATCATCTTGGGCACAACAACAAGGTAAGCCATGCCTTTCATCGTACAAGCTTTGTTTTTTTGGGATAAAGGTACCAGCTTTGTTTTTTCTAGAACTGAAATGGAAATAAAATTTGAATAGTTTCCATATTTAGGGACGGCAACAGGGTCGGTTCTTGACTTTTTGTGGGGCCCTGCCTCACATGGGCTAGATATAGGGCACTTGGGGGGGGGGGGGTTGGATATTTGGTTTATGAACCCGATTTAGATCTGGGCCAGATATGGAGTTTATCTCGAAACCCCATATGTGCACTATAATTTTATAAATTACTTCATATTTTATGCACTGTGTATTATATGTACAAATGTGTATTAAAAATCATTAAGTCAAAAATTGGTTGGATAGGGGGGGTGGTAGTTGGGGGTGGAGCAGATATGGGGTAGGAGAGAAGCAGGGACGGAGTGGATATGGGTGATTGGTCCCCTCCCCATGTGCACCCGCCACCATCCCTATCTACGCTACCCTGAGGTAGAAAATTTGTAATTCTGTGTTAGTTACTGTTTTCTGACTCTTTTATATGCAATATAGTTGAGAAAGCAGCCTCTGTTTTCAGCTTAAAGCTGAATAATGGACACAAGTTACTCTGTCCATGGGTTGACAATGCCTGTGATGAAAAGCTAGCACAGTTCCCTCCTACCTCACCTGCAGATTTGGTTGACAGTTACAAGAAGCGATGTGCTTCAGTATTGCAACTTTTGGAGCTACCCGTGATCTCGTCAACAGCCATCGATCACATGAGTAGCCCTTTGTTAGAACATTTCCTTAAGAGTCCCCCAGCTCTAGAATATGTCAATGGACATGATAATGTTTCTGCCAGAGGTTTTGGGGATGAACGTGAAGAAGTTTTGCCTGTCTTGTACTATCAGGTATGACAACTTATGCTACCACAGGCTACAGATCTTATTTTAACTCATTTATTCATTTACATTTCACATTAAAGAAGCTAGAATGTATTGTGACCCTTAAACAATCGTTAACCTGAGTATTCTGGTTTGCAATTACTTTGACATATGTTCTTCCCTGCTTGAGATAAATGAGGCTTCTGTGAGGCCAGATCTTTTAGCGAGCCTTTAGTATCTGAGTGATAAAAAGCATTTGGTTTTACACTTTTACTTGTATGTAAAACATACCACCTTGGTTTTTGCACTGTGGCTAGAACAATCGCTGATGCAGTTAGAAGCCCTTGTACTTGTAGATGTTTGAAAATATATTTGCCGATCCAGTCAGCTTATATGGTTAGTTTAAGCAGGACCACCTTCTTCTGACGTTTCTGTTTCCTGTAAATGTATTTTCACCACTTATCTGTTAAATTTTTTCATCATAACAATGGTAAAGAACGTTGATCTGTAAAGGCATTTTTTCAGGCACAAAAGCTCATAAGTTTATGCGGTTGGGAGCCTCGGTTGTTACCTTATATAGTTGACTGCAAGGATGTACAGGATCAATCTATAAAAGGTGGAACTCTCCCTGATCCTTCTGAAGCTTCTAATGCACAAAATGCTAGCCTTACTGTATATACTTCTCGCACTGCTGAAAATGTAGAGACAAATCAAAGTCCTGCTACTGGAAGTGAGCAGTATGATCATACGTCTGTGGTTCTAGACTGTAGGCTTTGTGGAGCTAGGGTTGGTCTATGGGCTTTCCGTACAACTCCTCGGCCAGCAGAGTTTGTTAGACTTATTGGACATGCAGAATTAAATGAAGAAAATGAGGCTGCTTGTCAAATGGATGATGCCAATCACCCTAATGTAGAGACTTCTCATGCTGCGAAAGGAGAACAAACAGCTAGTATTGCTAAGATTGGTACAACATCCTCAAGTAGAAATCTTTTGAACTTGACAATTGCAGGTGGTCCACCACCTGCGGAGCAGAACTTCCGCCCCACAATTTCATTGCCTGTCGTTGGACAAAACCTTAGGAGACGTTTTTCATCTGCATTTGAATCTGTTGATGGTGATCAACAACCATTTAAGGCGTTATCTCAGGTAGGAAAAGAGCACATGAGGTTGGTACAAAAAACGAACGAAGATGCACATCATAGTGCTACAAGTAATGGATCAGTTGATGGAGTTGACAATGGTGGTCACATGTCAGTGGGAGGAGATGTTATCATGAAAACTGCAACTTCTGGAACCAATAAACCGTATACTGCTACTACAGATCAGTTGGAAAATGTTGATGGCAAAAGTTCGAATAGTGGTGACAATACACCAGAAGATCTAGCTAATGTTGAGACTCTTAATACGGTTACAGGGGATCTTCATAGTCCTGAAGATGAAGGAAGTTCCAAAACGCTTGGTATTGAGGACTCAGCTCTAGATCATGCAGCTAGTTTGAACAATGTGCTAGATACAAGCTTGGCTGTCAATGACAATGTGCAACAAAGTCCAGTGATTGATAAAAATTGCAACAAACAAGTAAATAACCGGGATTGTGGTGAACAGACCCCAGGGCTCCCTTTGAAGTCCAGTTCAGCTTACTTGGGTAAGTAAACTACTGGCTTTCTTGTTCAAGTTAAATGTTAGTATTCATGCATGTGTCTGAGTGTTTGCCTTTTAATCTGTGCGTCATAAATCATAATTATATTCTGCGGACTGGTATCTATTAGGAAACTGCCCGGTAGTATTTTATATGATCTACAGAGACTTGCATAATGTAGGTTTCATTCTCCCTGAATTCAGCATTGATGTATGTTGTTTTGAGTAGTTTGTATAACTCGACATATTGCTGTAGACATTGGGTTTGTTAAATACTAACATCGGCTATTTTGGTTTTGTGCAATGTGAACTCATTCCTACGCATTATTCTTTCAGAGGATTCAAAGCAACCATCAGCTGCAAAAGCAATGGAGCTCGATCCAATAAAGCAGCATAGACATTTTTGTCCCTGGATTGCTTCAAGTGGGAAGTCAGCTCCTGGATGGAAACAAACTCTATCTGCTCTAGAACGCCAGAAAGAGTTCATTTATCCATCAGCGACAACCCAAGCATCGTCTTCACTCATTGAGGTAACCTTGCTGTCTTCTTTATGATTTATAGCAGCAGTCTGTTGCACACTTTCTCCTATAATTTAAACCAAGAAACTACAAAGGTGTTAACTTAAAAAGAGGAGTGCTGATTAGTTGGACGACTGCAGGAATAGGCTATCTATCTCTACATCGTAGGACCATTCACATGTACCCCTATATGATCTATATTATTACTGAATAGCCCCCCTTGAATGATTGATGCTAGGGTTAATGGTTCACTTTGCTAACATTATTTGATGTTAGAATTGCAAGTGCCTTTTAGTCTACCTGTGAATGAATACTAAATTTATTATATATTACCAGTGTCTCTGTGGACATTTGTGCAGTGTAATTCGTCGTTTGATGACAGCTACTCTATTCATCAAAATTAATCGATGGAATATAAAGAAGACTAGTTACAGTTTTCTGTAGGGTTTTTTTTAGATGTAGAGGTTAGAAAGTGGTTAACAACTAAAATCATTATGTGTGCTCTTCTATACAGATCCTAGTTAGCTTCTTGCAGGAATCAGTGTTTCTTTCTGGAAATAAAGAAAAAGAAGATATCTTGCAATAAATATTGAATGACTAGAACCTAAAATTTGAATATTAGATGCATCACCTATGGGAATGTTATACACCATCCATCTTATACCAAGTACTTCCACTTTACCTCATCCGTACAGCTGAGTCCCACTACTGTATCATAACTTTCAATATTGTGAGGAAAAATCTTCCGGAAGAGTTGCATCAAAACCTCATATGGCTTGATCATGGGCTTTAGTTTCCAACCAAATTGTCTTTAGTGATTTGGCTACAAAAAGTGTGATCTGTTGCTGATCATTTATTACCCTGCAGGTGGAAGATCCCGTTGGTTCCGTCAAAAAGCTTCTCACACCCCCTTCAGCTAAAAGAAAGAAGTTCACTTATGGCTCAAGTTAAAGACAGCCCACCATCAGCGTAAAGCCTCAGATAAACATGTATTGTCAAGTAAGATGCTTTTGTCGTTTGTTTAAACCGTTTATTCATTTGCTATTCCAATTAGCAGTACTAGGTTCCCTTTTTAGGGTTTGTATCCAATTTTGATATATTTTGGTGACTGCCTTTGCCCTGCTTAACATAGCCAGAAACTGAAGATTTATATTGTAGTACTTTAAAGGTCACAAAACTTTTAGGCTTTTACATAATCAAACATAGAATGGGATTCGCATTGATGTACAACTCCATGAATTTATCTCACTAACACAAAGGATGAAAGAAAGTTATGCCATTAGCCCACAATTGGTAATCACTACTTTTGAATAGGGTCTGTTGAACCCTCTCTCTGCAACAACTGCCCTTTTATCGCCAATCAACTTGGCTACCCTGTTTGAGAAACAAGAGAATGTCGTTAGTTTGATGCTTCTCCAGATCACTCAGATATATATATGTGTGTGTGTGTGTGTGTGTGCATAGATATGCCGAGTAGCGTTTTAGTACCTGAAATAGGGAGAACTAGTGTTCTCTTGCACAGTCTTAACCTGACCCATCTTCTCAACAACCTCCATACCTTCCAGCACTTTCCCAATCACCAATGTTGATGCATCCAACTCTGGTGAATCTTTTATTGAGATCACGAACTCAGTCCCATTTGGTTCCTTTCCTATTTCTTCTTCATCAATTACCAGCTTGCCATTCCGGGCAACCAACTTCTGCTTTGGAGGTGGCTTGAGCGGGTCCCTTACAATAATACCAATAGTTCCCGCAACATTCTTCGTCCCGGGACATCTTCCGTTCTCTTTGTCCAATTCAGCAACGAGATTGTCGACTGCAAAATTCCTCCCAGTTTTAGCTGCGAGTTCAGCGTCGACACCATATGATCTAACCCCACCATGTTGCACATAACTTGGTGTAATCTTTATGAACTCTTTCTTTCTGTAACTAACACCTGCCACTCCATTGCCAAATGATCAAATGAAAATAGTTGTGCCAATGACTGTAAGATGCAAGTCCGAAGACCAAAAGTAAAAACTACCTGCTGCTCCACTGACGAAATCACTGAACTTAGTAGTCCCAGCTGGTACATTGTTCCCATATAGTCCAATGACAACCCGTCCAATGGGTTTGCCTTCGATTGATATATCAAGAAAAGCCCGTTTGGTAAGAACTTTTTCGGTGCAGCTGTCTATCGTAGTTGTGGTGGTGCTGGCAGAATCATCATCAACTGGACCATCTTTGGTGGTGACGCTACTAGTCTCAACCGGATTCTCTTCAGCGGGACTGGTGGTGCCACTAGCTTCCACTTGATTCTCTTGGGTGGTGCCACTTGCTTCCACTTGATTCTCTTGGGTGGTGCCACTAGCTTCCACTTGATTCTCTTGGGTAGTGCCACTAGCTTCCACTTGATTCTCTTGGGTGGTGCCNGGTGCCACTAGCTTCCACTTGATTCTCTTGGGTAGTGCCACTAGCTTCCACTTGATTCTCTTGGGTGGTGCCACTAGCTTCCACTTGATTCTCTTCAGTGGGAGCGGTGGTGCCACTAGTCTCAACGGCATTCTCTTGGGTGGAAATGGTGGTCTCAACTGGATTTTGTTGGGTGGGAGTGTTGGTGCTACTGGCATCCGCTGGGTGGTCTTCAGATGGAGTGATGGTGTCACTTGCATCAACTGGATTCTCGTCTACAGGAGTTGTGATTGTATTAGTCTCAGTTGGATTGTCATCAAGGGTGGTTTTGAAGAGGGTTTGTTCTTGTGCTCTTGCTTTAGGCAGATGGAACTGGTCTTGAAAGAGGAGGAGCAGAGATGATTTGGTGCAGATTGCGAGGTGTCTACGTGACAACTTGATAACTGCAGCAGGGGAAGTTGATATGGTTTGAATGTGTGTTGGTGGTGGTGGAGGTTGTGGGTGGGGGAGGTATTTAGATGCTGAATGCAGGATCTTTGAGTTTTGCCATATCTTCTCCATCAATGGCTTCTTTTCGTGTGTGTGTGTGAGAGAGAGAGAGATGGAGATGGTGTGTGTATAATCAATGTGTGTGGGGCTGGAATTAGTTATGTGGACAAGAAGATAAGAGTAATCCCATCCACAGTGGTTTGAGACTGGGAATGGCCCTTTACCAACCACAACTCACCCTCCCAAGTCTGTGGGGCTTTAGTTCCATGAAATTAAGCTCGAATTGCCGGCTAATTTTTTTATTTTTGAAAATTTTAGATGAAATAAAAAGCATTATTTGGAACAAGAAACATGTGTATGAGATGGATGAGGGTGTTTTAGTGGTATCTTCCCGTAGAGATGCAAACGGTTAACCGGTCCTTGCCCTCTACACTTGTAATCGGTCTCGGTATTAATGGGGTTACGGGTTACCAGGTGAAATATTACTTAGGGCTGTAAACGAACACGAACGGAGGCTTGTTCATGTTCGTTCGTTTAACTTAACCGAACAAACGAATAAACACGAACGGTAAACGAACGAAAATCTTTGTGTTCGTGTTCGTGTTCGTTTAGAAATAAGGTGCGTTCGTGTTCGTTTATGTTTGTTCGTTAACATGCTAAACGAACGAACATAAACGAACGGACTAAACGAACATAAATAAATGTTATTTGAATTCAAAGTAAATAAACAAAAGATTATATATTAAATTTAATATATAAACGAACGGTAAATGAACAAACGTTCACGAATATAAATGAACGAACGAGACTCTTTCGTTCGTTTAACTAAACGAACAAAAATATTTCTTCATGTCTGTTTATTTATTAAATAAACGAATATAAACGAACTTCCTACCAAACGATTCGCTGAACGTTCGGTTCGTTTACAACTCAAATATAAAATATAAAGTAAGTGGTTCAACCAATCACATAATTGGTCCATCGTAACCTGTCAACCTAAATGGTTCTGTTGTCTTTTTAATTTAAAATTTTAACTATTTCTTTTGTATATATAATTATACTTATATTTTTCGTATTAACAATATTTTGGAGCACTAGTTGTCTTAATCTTTTTTTTTTGTATTATTAAAGATGCGTTTTTAATATACATATTAAATAAATGTGGTAAAATGATGTTATTTACTACAAACACATTATTATTTTTATTTGATTATAATACAAAACGTAAACTTCTAAAACTCGTACAATATATTTAAATTTCATAGATATTAAAAACATGAAAATTGAAAGAAGTTTAAAACTTCGTCTCATGGTTTGATACCAGCATCGTCGATGCTAAGGGGTCGTTTATCAAACACTCACTAGGTAGGTGCTTACTGACGAGATTCACCTCTCTAACTTACCTTATAGGGTAAAATTTCCGGTCATCAAAATGGATTGATGGTAAACGTTTATAACCCGGTAAACACTTACCACGTAAGAGTCATAGTTTTCACTTACCAAGTAAAATTATCTTCCTTTTTACTGGGCAAGTTTTTTCCGTCCTGTTATATTCATCTAGTAAGGTAATTGAACCGGTAAGCGATTACCAAAGCAAGTGTTTAGTAAACGGCGCTTAAGTGGTGTATCTAAATCTTAAACTTTCATTGTTGGAGTTTCGGAAAACTGGCTATCCCTCTTCCTCTACTATATATCGTAGTCAATGTGGGAAAGTTTGCCAAAAATTAACCAAATAATATATATATATATATACACACTTGGGATCATATGACTATGAGACCAAGGGTTTTTCGTGAGACCCGTAAGACCAATTCTAACCCTTGGATTAGATCTACAGTCTGAACATTCATAATCATAAAATTGCCACAAGACTTCTCAATAATCACAAAATTGCCACCGTGCAATTTTAGACCATTTGATCATTAGCTTATAAAGTTGATCAATGAACATAAATTGGTCTTACGGGTCTCACGAAAAACCTTTGGTCTCACGTAAACCCAATCCTATATATATATATATATATATATATATATATATATATATATATATATATATATATATAAAACTTAAATAATAAATTGTAATGTAAGCTTTAGAGATGGATAGAGAGATGACGAAATAGTGTGCACATTTAATAGTGCACACACTCAATTATAAAAAAATGACTTTTTTTTTATTAAGCTGGATATCCAATCCGCTGTGCGAGCTGACTAATTCCAGGACGACCACCTGTTTTGCGGATATCCCGGAGTCATCGCATTTGAATCTCTGTGGCCACAAGAGGATTTTTATTCCTCATTGGATTTGAATCTGGGACCTCCTGGTACTTTTGATCTTTGGAGCCAAGCTCAAACCAATCAAACACCACATTTGTGGTTAAAAAAAATGACATTTTGGTAGTTAACTTGCGTTTTTGTAATAGAGAACAAAGAAAGTCCAAAAAGACGACAACCATCCCTTTTAATCAAGAGTGTGTGTTTCTTATTGAAAAAAACGCAAGTTAAAATGAGATTAAGAAAATTTCAGACAGGGGTTCTTTGTCCAATGAAAGGTGCCACATGATAGTTATAATTTATAGATCGGGTTAGATTCAGTTAAGATTGAAACACTTGTTGACATAGCCTTCTTTATATGGCTAGACCACAAGAAACATGAAATTTAGCAACGATTTTTGTCGTCATTAAAGTCAATTTATCGTTAGAAATGTTTATAGAGACGACGTGCCGTTGCAATAATTTCTTGCTCAAACATGTCGCCGTTAAAGACGCATTAACAGAAACTCACTTTTCTTGTAGTCAACAGAAATATTAAGAGAATAATAGTGTTTTTGAACAATTTTCTCATCATCATGATATTTATAAGAGTAAATTACGTTCTTGGTTTCTGTGGTTTATGTGTTTTAATAGTTTGGGTCCCTATTTTGAAATATCTATGGTTTGCATCCCCGTGGTTTGCATTTTATGAAGTATTGTGTTCCCAAATCTAACTCCATCTAACAAGTTCTGTTAAGCTGACTTAAATCAGAAGGGTATTTTAGTCTTTTTTTTAACAGTTTCTTCAATTTTGTATTAAAGAAAAATCCATTTTCTTAATTTTTCTATTTTTAATGTTTTAACCAAAATCAAAATCAAAATCAACAACAATATCAAAATTCAAACCAAATCATCCATCAAAATACAAAAGCATCATTTGAACATTAAGAACACATATGAACAACAAATTTATATAGATTCATTAAAATATTTGTAATACAAAACTATACACAATCCAAACCCTGAATCAAGCTTAGATCCCTGACTAAAATAAAAACTCTAAATGAAAAAATATGAAAGCTTGAATCCCTAAAATCAAAAAACGTAAACCCATATATCCTAAAATTGATTTTCAAGAACCATACCTTCATGAACCCATAACCTACATTGGAGGAATATGGAGGCCGATTTAGGGAAAAGGGGTTGGTAAACAAATCTAAAACTAAACCTTTTTCAAAGAATGAGCAAACCTTTTCAAAACTGATAAACCGATGGGAAATCAAACCTTTTCAGATTTGGAGTTGAGCGACTGTTTTAAGGTAAGGATGGAGAGAAAAAAGGGGAATGACAGTTGCACATCTCACTGGAAACCTCCTCTCGTGTTCCCCGTCGATTTAGTACTTATCGGGTCATTTTCTTAACCGGATGAATATGACAAGGGCCAAGAATTTGGGAAACAAGAATGATGCCATTATAAGTTAATAGTATTTTAATTTGAATATGTGATTCAATAAAACAATAACAACCTCAATAAGAATCTAAAAGGCGTGGGTTGTATGCAAGAAAGAAAAATAAACAACAAATGCATAGAAGAAGCAGCTTCTTCCTTCCAAATCAAACAAAAATCCTACGAATATCAAATAAACCCACTAAAATCCTGCCGACTTGGGATCTGGGAGTAAAATCATTTTCGCATTTTCTTTACTCTAAAGGATAAAGTGGCGGTTGGTTCACAATGTCGTGAAAACATGTAAGCTAACCACCATCATCAACTACCCCTCCGCCACCACCCGGAGGCTCAAACTCAAAATGGTAATGTTATTTTCCGAAGATCATGTAAATAGCAACCTAAGATTGTAATAGCAGTAAAAGGACTAACTTTGCCTCCATCCTTCAGTAATAACCAACACCTTTCAGTTCTGCTTGACTGGGGGCATCACTCCCTTCTCCAAGAAACACGACCCGACCTGCAATTCAATATGGAACTTGTAACAGGAGGTGAAGCTTATACGGAACAGAATGCCAACGAGCAAGCTTGTTTCTTAAACACCATCTATTTCCATCTACAACTACTATTTTTTAGTTTCCAGTAAACATGGAATCCAGTGCCATATACTCCCTCCGTCTGTCTCAAAATAAATGTCCATAATGAAAAGAACATAGTTTTAGAAATGTGTAATTATTACACTTTTAATTAATTGAATGACAATTTTACCCTTAATAATAGGAGTTCATCTTTATCATTATTAAGGGAGAATTGGAGGTTAAGCACTTAATTTTGAAAATGAATACTTATTTTAGGACAAACAAAAATACAAAGGTGGACACTCAGTAGTTCTCTATGCATAGTATTTATGCACAACTCATACAAATCTCTTGGAGGTGGCAAAAAGAGACGGACTTCTGGCTAAATATAAGGGTGAACGATTTGCAAATCTTGTTGCATTTACTTTGGGGCAGACGGAGTAGTGTACTTAATTTTGCATTTCTCAAAGGTTAGATTAGGTAAATTCTCCAAAAACCAAGCCAAACAAACCAAACACACTCATATGTCCCACTCGGAACTAGGGTATGGGGGTAAGATATACGCAGACCTGACCTCTACCCAAAAAGTAGAGCGCCTGTTTCCATGAAGGCCCCCATTGTAGATCTTTTCTTTTTGCAAAAAGATTAGTTAGCATTCTCCAGGAGGCTGTAATTGATGAAGCAACTTTGCTTTCAGCAAGCACCATACAAAAACTGGCCTAGTGCACAAAAACAAATTAGACCAAAAATATTGTTCCAGCTATGCTGACAACGGTCAACAGACTCAATACAAGGACTTTGTTATGAACTGGGCTAAATCAACAGACTCCAAAAGTAGAATTGAAATTACCAAATGACTGAAGGAGTTTAACAGTGAAACTAAAGAGTTTTCTGGCTATTCAGAGGCCAGAGCTCTCATAAAAACACACACTTACTATTTTTCTCGATGCCTCCCTTACTTCCACACATTCCCTATTTATTAACAGACATGACAAAATACCATAGCTGCCCCTTCTAGAATATATATCTTACTAATGCGATTGGGCTTGGGTTAGTGCATAACAGACTTTTGAACTGTGTTTATGCTTCAAGGGAGGGAACATAATGAGAGTCTAATATCCAACAACCATTAATTCAAGCATTTACTTAAACATATTTATGTGACAGTATTGCATTTACTAACAAAGACGTGGCAAGGACTAAAGGAACAAATGTATGTAGCTGCTTTCTTTCTTAGATGTTATATAACCTTTTTTATTTTGATATTAACTCACTCACACTAGATGGTAAATAAATTATACTTTTGAGGAACTTACCATCTCGACGTATGGCAATCTCTCTCACACGTCGAGTTAGACCTGTTATAGGGTCATTGAAAATCTTTGTCTCCAGATTCCCTTCCAAATATAAGATTGAACTACAAGCAAGAAACAACAAATGATCAAACAGTGTAATCATATCAATATACAACATATTATCAGGGATATTGTCAGCAGGATACTTCGTGCCGTAAATTTATTACAATTAATTCTTCTTATAAGTTATAACCCAAGATTTCGAATACTGAAAGCGTGTCTAATTTGAGCAATGAATATCAGAACTTCGAGGGTTGTGGTTGCCAACTGTCAAATCACAAAGCACATTTTGAAAGATTACACTAAACAAGAATGCGTGGCCTCATTCTAAGGGCTATTTTGGTATGTAAGATTTGCATTACAACAGTCAGAGTGAAACTCTCATCCTTCTTTTCTTTCACAAGTTCATCCACATATGCCCATAGCCTTTACAATTAGCAGTAGATAAACTGAAACACAAAAAAAAACACCAATAACACATTGAGGGAGTAACAAACGAACTTAAGCTTACCCGGGAACAGCATTCTTGGCTACAAGTGCACCTAATCTCTCAGGGTAAATCGAGACACGATGCCATTGAACCATACTCCGATTCGCATAATCCCTTGGTTCCTCATTCTGCAAAGGCCTCCTGTTGTTTCTAATCCCTCCAGTTCCAATAGACAACATAGTCACTGTCCTCCCACTCCTCAGCTTCTTCTCTATAGCATTTTGACCCACTTTCCCAACCAATATTGCCTATTTGATACAACAAAAAACCCTAGTCATAAAATTCACATCTAACTATAATGAAAGTAAACAACTTCCTGTATTCTACAGAAAACACAAGCTAAATATGTACCCTGTAAATGCCTGCATCCAAACCGTTTTCAAGGGGGCGGTCCCCAAAGTCTCTTTGCTGGTTGTTAGAATATGACGATTGGGGTAATGGATCTGACTCGGGTTCTGGGTGGATAGTGGAATCGGAATCAGACCCAGATGCAGAGTCGGATGAGGTTTCAGTGGAGAAATGTTGGAGAGAAATCAGCAACGATTGATGGTGATAAGTGTTTGGGTTCATAGAGAGAAAAGAACAATAAATTCTTCTACAGAGTGAAGACGCCATTGAAATTGAGCTTGATGAGCAATGTGTGTTTCCTTCTTCACAAAACTTTAAATCCTACCGAATTTAAACAAAATGGCACTCTAATATCATTAATGTAACTCTGTTAATAAAAAGAAAGTTTGACAATTTCAATAACTTTATAATAAAAACCACCTCCCTGTGTACAAGATCTGATAATTGTAAGCTGTCCTTAGAAAGCTAATCACACAACTATATACCAACTGAACATCAAAGTCAATCAACATTATAATATTTGACCCTAATCTTGTGACCCCCATCATGAGAGAACAGCTCATCTTATGCTAGACTACTTCCAGGGCCGGTCCTGAGATTTTGGATTCCCATGGCGGAAAGTCAAAAAAATGCCCCTTATATGTGTAGTAAATAAAAACCAAAATAAACTATTTGAAGGGGTTTGGAACCTAATCAATCTAGGCGGCTCATCCCCACTCCGATTTATTTTAAATATAACAAATATGATGCAACCGGGGGGACATAAACCAAAACCCCGTGTAACAAAATATAAAATACATCACCATTCGTGGTTCGTGTTGTGAAATTGCCAAGAAAGTGGAATGATTAAGCAACATGGACAAATTGATATAGGAGAAGAAAACATAAGCATCAATCTTAAGTCTTTGTCCTATACTAACCCGCTTTAAAACAGCTCCTAAAAAGCTTCTAAACAGCTCTAAAAAGTAAAATTTTTAAGGCTTGAGCAAATGGAAAGGAATGGAAATTCTATTCACATTTTGAAGTCTTTAGAGGATACAAATAGTGAACAGGAAATCAGGAATTTGGGCCACCAACCTAACAAGAAATGGTTGTTTTTTTATGGAAGGAAGAAGAGGTTTATGTTCTATTAGTCTTATACTCTTATAGACATCTTTAGGTCAACCACCCATGACCCAACAATTAACAAATGGCAGCAGAAGCTTTGACTGTTTGACACACAACAATGTCTGAAAACAGAAGTGAGTAACCAGACTCATTTCATGGATTTTACTTAGAAATTGCAAACAAAAACAGCCCCAGAAACAATCCCAAGTCCCATTGTAATGTTCTTTTCCTATTTTGAGCACCCTAAGCATCAATCTTAAGCCTTTGTCCTATACTAAGTACTAACCCGCTTCTAAACAGCCCTAAAATTAACAAATGAAACACTCAAACACAGTAAGTCAGTAACAACTAACAAGTGATACAGTAAGTCAGTAACAAGAATTAGAAACATAAATGACAAACCACAAAGGACCAATTTCACAGTTTCATTATTAGGTTTTGCAGTCAAACAAGAATTAGAAACTTCAAAAAATAAAATAATTAATAACCCTAAGTGGCTAACTGTAAGTCTGTAACTGGCTAAATGACTAAATCCCTAACCTCACAAGTCGAAAGAAGGCAGAGAGCGAGAGCGAGTCGCAGACGGCAGAAGACGCAACGTAGACGGCAGACGGCAGGCAGTATTCGCGAGAGCGAGAGCCGATTGCCCGATTGTGTCAACTATCAAGGCCGATAGCGATTCGTGAATCGTGAAGGAAATCAATTTCTATTCTGTTGAGTCGTGAGTTCCGTGAGTGAGCGAGGCGAGAGCGAGCGTGAGGGAGGATGATGGACCTGGACGCAGGGCAAAGGTAATATTTTTAGGCCCAAATGAAAACTGATCCTATATATATACACATTGGGTTTTGAAATTTTGATGCCTAGGGTTTATCCGTCGCCTACTGGACTTAGGGGTGTTCATGGGTTGGGTTGAGGATATTTGAACAACCCAACCTAATGTTTGCGGCTTAGAAAAATTTTAATCCAACCCAACCCAAATCAAAGTGCAACCCAGCCCAACCCAACCCAACCTGTACGGGTTGGTCGGGTTAGTCGGGTTAGTCGGGTTGATACTTTGGTATATTAAAATATTCTTCTAACCTTGAACATGTTATTTTTCTACTCATAATTTCTTTTTCATCATCAACCATTTGATACAACTTATTCATATTTCTTACGTATATCACATTCAGTTAATTTTCTCAATTTACATATATATGTTCACAGTTACTGAATGAGTTATATAGAGATATGAATAGATTGAAAATATGTGTATATGAAAAACATACATGATAGTGTAATTGTCTAATGTATATATTTATAGAAATAAAAGGATATCGGGTTGGTCGGGTTGGGTTGAGTTCAAATAATAGTAACCCAATATCAACCCAATACCTACGATTTAACAATTTTACAACTCGATTAGACACCGGGTTGCTTCGGGTTGGGTTATTTCGTGTTGGGTTGGGTTGATCGGGTTGATCTGGTTTTTGAGCACCCCTACCTGGACCTATAGCCAGCGCTGGCCCTGACTACTTCCTGCAACTTTAAATCATTTAAGAAGCACCGCATTTTTCAAGTACATAACAACACTTCATGGACATGTGAGAAAGAGAGAATAATAGTAAGTGGGAGGAGACATACATTTTTCCAAGGTCAAAGGAAAGATAATAACTAATAGCAAGAGAGAACAATATCCAAAAGGCATGCCATTTAATCGCTTCCCTGTATTAAGTTATACATAGTGATCACTATTCCATTTCTTGATCTACTATGGAAGACCATTGTCGTGAAGAGATTCTGATAGACTTTATAAAAACTATTAACAGCTAAGCTAAGGTGCTTTTTCAGCAGCTAAGTTTATATGTGTAGCTGCTCCTTCCCAATCTTCTGTCTATAATTTTGCTTTTTTTACACCAGTACACCAATTCCATTTTCCGATAAGCTAATACCATTTGAGTATGGGGAAAGTGTTGGATATTAGTCCACCCTTGTCCCACATAGGAAAAAGAAAGAACTTTTCATGTGTTTATATTGCTTTACACACATGGATTAGCAAGTTAGAGAGAGGCTCAAAGGAAGGATTGACCTTGGGCTTGGGTGTAGTAATACCCAATATTAATGGTCAAAAGATGAGCCTTGGGGCTCTTATGACCCGGTTACGGTTTTGCCCGACCCGTGGTAACTGCATTTTTGCGGTTTATTTTTTTAGGGGGCTGTTCGTTTACATAGAACACACGCAGAAACAGAAGTCTCTCTCAATAGTTTTTCTCTCTATATCGTTGCTTCATGGAACGTATTATCGATTCAATGGAATCGGATTGACGTGCATCAATCCGGTTAGATAGTTATATCCTCAAGACGACGTCCGTTTACCAACGCACGATTGGGGGCGAAATTTCGTCTTAGGACACTGTTTCGGCAGGCCTCTATCTCACGATCTTTGCATATATATATATATATATATATATATATCATCGTAAAGGTTATAATTTACTAACTTTCTTGGTTAATTTTCTGATTAGTATTGTTTTAATTTTAGTTTGGAAGGGTAATTCTATAATTCGTTGATCTGGTTCTAACAGAAAGAAGCAATCAGAGTAGAAAATACAACATGTAATGTGTATTGTGGAGAACACACACATATATTGAACTTGCTGTCATTGAGGCATTTCATCGAACACCAAATTTGCATGTTCATTTGTCACATCAAATCATTTACTGTGTTTCTATTTAGCTACTACCGTATGGGGTTGATCATGATTTCAAAGAGGTTGGTAAAAAGACGGAGAATCATTTGAGTTTGGTTCAAATGTTATCGGTTCTTTGAAGAAACATACCCATGAACACCCATCTACATAGACATAAAAATCCCAAAAACATCATTCTACATGTACACAAAACCTAGATCAAAAGACATAAATTGATAGATAATTTCAAACAAAAACACATAAAGTAGTTGCAAAACTGGAAGAAAAAATTATATTTTTTGTATGACAAACTAACCACGATGAGGCAGGTGAAGCAAATGAGGCAGAAATGGAGACTGACAATCAAAACGAAACCAGAAAAAATACCAATCAAGAAGGCATAACTAATGACGAGATACGAGGCTGAGGGAGGGAGACAGTCGCTGATTGCTGAGGGAAGGCAGGTAACAGCGAAAGAGACGACGAGTGGGGTAGAATTGGTAACCTATCCAACAAGACTGCAACAGCACCCGTGCAATTGCTTATTGAGTTATTTGCACGTTTATTTCAAATCAATTTTTATTTATATACGGGTGTTTGAGATTGCTTATAAAAACAATTTATTGACTTATTACGGTGTGATACCGGTAATACGCATTTTTGAGTGTTCGGATAAACAACTTATACCGGTGCCAAACCGGTAATAAGGAGTTTTGGAAGAAGTTAAACCCTTATGACTTATAATAAGTTGATAAGTGCTTTTATAAAAAAAACATAAATTGTTTCAAATAAGCAAATCCCAAACACCACCTAAAAAAAGATATTAAATTAAAAGATAATAAAGTGATATTTTTTTTAGTATAATTTATTTTGCTCCTTTTATTTTTCCGTATTTTGCTGATTTTCGATTAAAAGATCAAGGAGAAATATTTGCATCTTTTTTAAAGATGATTATAACCATCTTTTTAATCATATTTGTAGGATCATCCCAATTTAATAGTTTAGAGTGCAACATGAAATATGATTGTTTGGTAATTATTTATAATGAAATTAGAACGTTAAATGGTTCAGGGATGCTCAAGATACAAAACTATTAAGAGGGTTTTAGAACCCTTAAGAGGTAAACTTTTTTTTGTCAAACAAGATTCACCTCTTAGCGATTCATATATCGTCTCTTAATGAAACTATTAAGAGTTAAACAAACAACCACCAACTCCCTTCCATTCATCTTCTCTTGCTCCTCCAAATCAAAGGTTTTCATCTCCCAGTTAACTCCCTTCCATTCGTCCTTTCTTCCTCCTCCAAATCAAGAGTTTTATATCTGGAGTAGATGCTAGGGCTTTATTAGGTACGTTCCTGACATTTTATAGGCCTTGTGCGAGATGTAAAAAAGGCCCCTTGTAGATAGTTATGAAAAAGTGTGCTATTTGGTATGAGAATCCAAGAATGTCGTAAAGTGAGTCATTATTATGGTGATTATCAATGTGGAATTTGGGTCGGTACGACCGACGTGTACGTATGTTGTGGTGTATGTGAGGGAGTAGTGTATGTATTAGTGAGGTGTATGTGATAGTGTGGTGCATATAACATAGCAATATATATAATGAAGGTGTTGAGCCAGTTATGCCAACAATGCTAACAGAGATGTTAAGTCGGTATATCGATCTTATATGTAGTTGACTTACATCTTTTTAAAGTAGTTATCACTACCAAAAAACCCACTATTTCCGGCGGATTTGGCCGCCGGAAAAAAGGGCGCCGGTGATTGTTTTTCCGGCGGCGTTTCCGGCGGATTTTCCCTGTTTCCGGTGTATTACGGCCGCCGGAAAATCTTCGCCCGTTTTTAAAAAATTCTTGATTAACTTAACAAATCCTTAATTTTTTTATTTTTTTAAAATTTCCGGCGGAATATTCCGCCGGAAAAATTTCTCGCCAGAAAAACAATATTTTCTAAAAGATTTAATTTAAAAAAAAAAAATACCAGCGGATAAATCTACCGGAAAAAAAATATATAATAATATTTTTTTAAAAATAATAATATTTTAAAAAAGATTTAATTTTTTTTAAAATACCGGCGGATAAATCCGCCGGAAAAATATATATATAATAATATTTTTTTAAAAAAATAATATTTTAAAAAAGATTTAATTTTTTTTTAAAAAAATACCGGCGGATAAATCGGCAGGAAAAATATATATATAATAATATTTTAAATTTATTTTAAAATTAATATTTAAAACCTCTATTTTGTTTAAAAATACAAGTACTAACATTTGCCCAACAATTGACAACCCATGTCTAACGTAAATTATATCTCAAGTTCGTTTAAAAATACAAGTCCTAACGTTTGCCCAACAATTGGCAACCCATTTCTAACGTAAATTATATCTCAAGTTCGTTTAAAAATACAAGTCCTAACGTTTGCCCAACAATTGGCAACCCATTTTTAACGTAAATTATATCTCAAGTTCGTTTAAAAATACAAGTCCTAACGTTTGCCCAACAATTGGCAACCCATTTCTAACGTAAAGTATATATCAARTTCGTTTAAAAATACAAGTCCTAACGTAATCTGGGTGTAATTGGCAACCCATTTCTAATTGGTTGTTACAATGTATTCTTGGTTCCATGATTTTAGGCATGTGAGCTCATGTGTAATGTGTTTGTATAGTGAACTTATTTTGGAAAAAAAAATCCGCCAACTGTTTATTTGTGAAAAGATTATTCATGGAATGCCATTATGTGTTCATAAGCAACAATATATATATACACATACATAATGGACAGAAATATATATATATATATATATATATACATATACGTACAGATTCATATATATATATATATATACGCACAGATATATATATACATATACGTACAGATTTATATATATATATATATATACATATACGTACAGATTCATATATATATATATATATACGCACAGATATATATATACATATACGTACAGATTTATATATATATATATATACATATACATACAGATTTATATATACATATACATACAGAGGCGGTCGGTGAAGCAGGCGGTCGG